AATCACTTACGTGGACGCTTTCGTGAACAAACCTCGAAAAATATATTCCGATTTGAAAGTAACGGAAAGCAGAGTTGCTAAGGGAAAATCTGTTGCCAAGATACGTGAAGGCGCTCGGATCAACCGATTTTAAATACAATGTCAATATAAGAGGCGCGGTAATTGTCTAGATCCACGTATAATGTGACGCTTTGTCCCCAATAACCAGCTCAATGAGTGACTGTGGGCTAGAAGACCACGGCTCGATTCCCGGCAACGAAACAAATATTCTCTTAGCCAATGTCTCCAGATCGGCTGTGAGGCTCGCCCAAACTCCCTTGTATCCAATGAGTACCGAGTTGAAGATTATTTCAGGAGGTAAAGATGATGATGACCCACCTCCACTAAGAGTAGTGGTTTTAACCACGTTACTGGCTCATTAAGACGGTGGATATAGCGATCTTAATCGGACAGGTTTCCCAGGCACCAAACCAATTCCTAGCATGCGGCTTCCTCGTCGCCTTGACGATGGAGGCAGCAAGGGCCTCTGGAACGTCGAAAGACTTCCTCCAGACATACCAGATGACCAAAGAGTCTTCAGCGTCTGTTTAAATGTGTGAAAAAGTTTCGAGACAGTCGTTAAAAAGCGATGCGAAATAATTTTCATCTATTCGCAATCGAATACGCTCACGCGCGCTTGTTTATCAACAAACCCGACCTGGGGCCCTCCCGCCCCGTTGCCATGTCTCTCGAGTTAACCAACGCCGCCTCGAACTGCACCTTCAGGACGTGGGTTCTAGGGTTTCTTGGCTGAATCTGCGCTGATACCTGAAAGGCCACGGGTTCAATTCTCAGCTCGAAGGTTTTTTCCTCCCAGTGTTAGTTACTTGCTTTACACCCCAATGTAGAAAATAAATTGCTACAGAGTTGTACCTAATCTGGCGAGACCAGAAACAACGCAGACACAAGAAGAAGAAGAACAACAACAACAAAAATTCCTTTGCACAACCTCCCTTTCAAACTGACTCATAGACTATATTCGGAATGCTGAAACAAAAAAGTTACCCTATGAGAAAATGTTTCCCCTGCGACTAACCAAATCATCATTAACACTTACAGCGGATGTGGCGATAAACCTCGGCGCTAATTTTTTTTTAAGGACAAGACCACAATTACAAATTCAATAAAGACCCGGTACGTGTTAAATTAACTCACATTCCAATTTTGCACCGTCATGGTTAAGATTCCTAAATCTATTCCAGGAGCTCGAATGGCTAAACTTATCACCCGGAACCGGCGCGTGTAGTGTCTACTTATTAGCTTCTCGGCCTAAACTGCAGCTTGCTAATTCAAAAAATTAGCTACAAAATGTGTACGCGGTAAAACTGATAAAAAAATAAATAAACAACGCCATATGCACTTCAAAAACCGCCTTTTACCAGAGGACCTACCCAACGTCTGTCAAGGCAACAAAATTTCAGGTTCCCTGTGACTGCACCACGAACTGGACGACTGTGGTTCGAGTCCTGGTAGGGCAGAATGGTCCAGAGCCTCCTCCTATCGAAATGTTACGTCACACCGTCGGACTGCTTCCATGAATGCCGTAAGAATATGTGGAACTATACCTCAATTCCACAAGCCTTCGCGGCGTGGTCCTTAATTAACTAAGCCACACTATAAAACTTTAAAAAAAAAACAAATGCTAAGCAGTATGCGAGGGAGCGGTATTGGTTATTCTTCAGCCCTAA